GAAAACTGACCTTTTCCAGTCCTGTGGCCACTGCTGAGTTTTCCAAATTTGCTGGCATATTGAGTGCAGCACTTTCACAGCATCATCTTTCAGGATTTGAAATAGCTCAACTGGAATTCCATCACATCCACTAGCTTACTTGGATAGTCCCATGTTATTTCCAAAAGAAGGCAACTATTTGTAAAATTAGGTTTTCTTTTAAAATATAGTGTGCAGGGAAATTTCAAAATAGGAATGTGTATATCCATACATCAATGCATATGTACATACATGTAAGTCTGTATATATCTGTGTGTATCTCCATCCTATTTCAGAACTTTATCTAAACATCAAGCAATGGATCCTATTTACTACGTATAGCTTTTGGGCATCAGTATCATCTACCTTCAGTAAGTAAATTGATTGGTTTGGATGAGTAAGCATTGGAGCTGGATTAAACTGAGGCTGAGTAGAAAAAACATGCAAGTATATGGACCAGGATATAAACTGGCCCTTCTTCTTCAAATTGACATCATCAAAGTCCCATCCTGTTAAGACAGGGCATCATGAGTATTCATTAATAATACCATGAAAATCCTCTATGCACATCTTGGACTCTATACCAAAACACTTACAACCCTGCCCTCCCCCAAAACACATACCAGCTCCTCTCCTTAGGACAATCTATTCTCACTCCCACCAGCTACTTCACTAACCCTTATGTGTACCTTTCAAAATATGTTCCCAAATGTCACCTTTCCCAGGCAAATGTATGGACACCCTAATTCAGATGCACTCCTCCATACCCCCAGAGCACTCTGAAAGCTTTATCCCAGACCTGACCATCCTGACTGTAAATGCCAGTTTTGAAACAGCGATTTCCTGAAGGAGCTGGAATCTAAATTGTTTGAACCCAGCAGAGTACCTGGTATGCAGGGGTCACTTAGTGAATTTGTTGAATTAACAACAGAGATAAAGAGTCTAATCTCCCAGGAATTAACTTGTAAAAGACAAGAAAAGGAAGCTAAAACCTAGAAATAATATTTTAATATGTTCTCTATCCATAGTGACATATACATTTTAGTCTTAACTAGTAAAACAGTAAAAGGGTAGTAATAAGCAGAGATGTCACCAATCAAGGAGAATCAAGAACATACATTAAAAAAAAAAATCTGTTGAGATAATATGTGGCCCACAAAAGTACAGTATGAACATGATGTTATTCGCTGTCTAATCTAGTTAAGCATAGCCTTTATGTGTAATTTAGCAAAATCACCATGCTAATAGTCATGCAACCTTAAAGGTTCACACAGAAGATCCTGTTTTGTTTTTTTTTTTTTTAAATTTCAGATGTCATTATTCTATTATATTCTCATTTGCCTTTCTACTGAATGGGTAAGCAACATCAAACTGTTTTCAGAGGTAGAGTGAAAATCAAAATAAAGTACTCTGCAACTTCAATATTAATTGCCAAACTTACTCTAAAAGTATTTCACATACCAGTTTACCTGAACATGAAATTGATTTATGGGTTCTGAAAGACATGCAAGAACTTACTTGCAGTTGCAGGTACTAAAGAAAAGCCAGGATTTTTCGTGTGGTGCTCACCTGATTTCCCCCAAGTCCATGACACGTATACAGAATCAAAGGTTTGCCTCCTTGGTTATTCTCTCCAACATCCAGACATAGAGGTTGACCAACACTTTTAATCTAAAGGGAAATTTTCAAGTTATAAATTTTTAAAAAATCTACGTGGTTTATATATTTTCTCAACTAATTTCTGAAAGTGGTGTTAACGTAAAAATCTCAAAAGCAATAAACCAGAAAGTATTATAGCAATTTTTCTTGAACCTTTTAAATATTGGTGGCAAAGAGTATACCAAGTAAAAAGGAACAGGAAAATACTCACATATCCAGATATAACAGGATTAAGGTCTGGCACATACACTTCTGGATAAATATTGTTCAGATACCATGTAAAATTTTTACACTGAAGGCGGTGCTTTATTTCAAACCTTTTTGAAAGATCACCAAATGATTTCTGGAGGAAGATGAGAAGTGAAGGGGAACGCTTAATTAAAACAGCACTGATAAAATACTTCAAATGCTATTATTTGTATTTACATTTAGGTCTTTTAAAAAAAATTCTGGGCCAAAATGTAATATGCAATTTAACTATAGTCACCACTCATTCAGGCAACAAGTATGCCTGTCTGCTCACTTCTGGCTTCAAAGGGAATCAAGGACCACTGCAATGCTGACCTTGTGCTATTTTATTCTTCCTTTGTGCCACAAACCTCTTTCATGGTACAGAGATCCTAAATGAAATGCTGAAAGCAAAAAATGGTAGTAGGGACATACACTGAAGTGATCTATAAAGTGAGGTGTGAGAAACAGCACCAGTGTACAATGTAATCTCTTCTCCAGTCAAGACCACAAAGATAATAATAATTTTCATACTTTGGGAATATTTTTTTCTAGTTTTAAGGGTGTTGTTTACTCCTAACAATATCTCCTAATGATATCCTAACAATAACAATGTTTTAGTAGAAAAAGTCAAGTTTTTAATCAACTGTATTTTATATCCCTCTATCTTATTTAAAAAGGAATAAGAAAATATTTTTTAAAGCACTTCTAAATTGAAAAGGTATTTGATATAGGCAAAATTTTAAAGAAAAATTATGAGTACCTAGATATGTGAAAAAGTAAATACTCAAGCTTATTAGTTCAACTAACAAAAATATTTTCTGTGCCAACTTCAATGTTTTGAACCCAGGGGTCTTAGCAAAAGGCAGGAAACTCTAAAAGACTTCTGGGCAGCTTATATATTTTATCATGTAGGTCTATTTGCCCTAGGTAAAAACTGGTTTTCTGGGTCACTTGCCACTTTTCGGGTGACAAGAAATCATAAGCTGTATGTAGTATCCACTCGCCTGCTTAGCCAAGCACCCTGTACAGTATACAAACTGCCCCACTTGTGTTGGTGGCCCCGGGTGAAGGGCTCGCAATCCAGTCCAGTAGGGCTCTGATTCTGCTTGGTACTGACATGTTATAAGGAGTTACCAGAGACCAGAGAAAAAGACAAATGAGGTAACCAGATCTAGGTGTTGATGCACTTTAATCCCAATATATACTTCCTTGTACACCGGCACGGCTTCTTACAAAGAACTGGATACCATTTACCAAAGCATGTCCTTCAACTGTCTAGTTTAGTTACCACATCCAATATTGGAACTGTTGGGACTCAATTCTAAATGCATTAGGCATGATGATTCTACAGAGCTTTTATCTAAGACCGGTCAATAACAACCATACTGCCATGCACTTGTTAGCACTTATTTCCTTATTTCATAGCTGTTTTGGGAGACAGGTAAGTATTTTACATCAAGACAGGGAAGGGGAGAGAAGAAATGTGGTGGAGCATACATTCCATGTCTGGCCAACCTGCTAATCACCCTATAAAGTACCATGACCACTTTACAGTCTCAAGGGGCTTTGCCCAAGTCACCCTTCCAGAAAGTAGCAGAGCCAGAACTGGAAACAAAAAAGTTTGATATCTTGGTTCATTCTGACACATCTGACACTGTCTCTCTCTAATTCAAAATGCCACTTAGCACCTTGATTCAGGAGTTAATCACATCACCTAAAACCAGTTGAAAGCAGTTCCACTTAATCTTATTTTCATTAAGTAAAATATTGAACCAAAGCAGTCACAAAAACTAAATACCCTTCATGTTAAAAAAAAGTAAAATCAAGCAGAATGCCTCAATTAAAAAAATTATTTTTAATTGGAAGAAATTGCTTTACAATATTGCATTGATTTCTGCTATATATTGCCTCAGGTTTTAAATGCAGTTTACTTGACTTTAAAAAAAAAAAAAAAGAGAGAGTAGAGAGAGAAAACTGGTATTAGTAAATTATATATTTTTGAGTTAAAAAGATCAGCTTCAAAAATAATTTTTTAAAAAACATTTTATACTTGAGTTGATTCAAACAAGTCCAAGAACATGTGAACTTGCTGTGGATTTTTACTGCAATTGTTTAGTTCTAACTTACTTGTTTAACAATTTTTGCTGCATCTGTGTTTCTCCTATAAAATATTTCCTTGTATTCATCCATCCAGACTTCTGCAAGGCGAACTTGGTTGCGAGCAATCACCTGAGTGCCTTTTGGGAAGGTATGAGGGCTTTTGCTGCGAAAAACATGTCCAACAACAGAGCAAGGCATAATCTCCAACTGCCCACCACATTGCCATACCTGATAATTAATGATATTTGTTTAAATTTACAGTATTTTAGGAAAATCAGTGTTGCTTTTAAGTTCACCTTTAAGATACTAATAAAAACAAGAGATTTATTACAGCTTTACAAACAGCTTTCTCTGTTCTCTCTCTTTACAGCTTTCTCTGTTCCCTGCCAATTCAACCTAAGTTCTTAAAGATAAAGAACTATCATTAGGTGGTACAGACACTAGCGACAAAAAAAGTAAACATATTTTCAGAAATTACCTTAACAAAATAGTGATTTCAGATTGCTCATAAAAATAAATTCTGAAATTTCTTTTTTTTTTTGATCAAAAAATACGCAAATTCTCTAGTATCCACAGAAGACCAAAGGCTCTTCTGCATTTGACTTCCACAGCAGATTTGGAGTAAGTGGGGCCAAACTCTACCTCGTGTACATTCAATTTTGTGATCAAGAAAACAATTCCAGACAGTCATTATTCCCAAGCACAACCTATTAAACTTTGTCATTATATATATTAAAAAATATCATGCCATTTAAGAGGGTCAAAAAAACTTATTTGCTTTAACTCTAAATAAAATGGCAAATCGCTAAATCAGTACCTACTCACTTAGATGTCTTGACAATCTGTTCTGCCATAAATGAAAAATCTGAACGTCATGTATGTGCTAATATTAGGGCAGTGATCACATTCTCTCTTTTAAGCAAGTGAGAAAGCTTAGTGATGTGTTCAATTCAACTGTGCTTGAGATCCAATGTGTGCTGGGGGCTGGGAATACTCAAATGAATAAAACAAGACCCCTGCCCTTAAGCCACTAAAACTTGGCTAAGATAATCATTGCCATTATATAATCAAACCAGAGCCAAAACTTAAAACTTCCAACTGTTAGTTCAGTTCTTTTTCTACTACATTCCAGCCTAAGTGATGAGAAATGAATAACAAAGCTATTGAAGAAACTGAACTCATGATATCAAATACATACATGTAGAGATCTAAAAGCTTTATTTCTCAAATTAACTTTTAATAGGTATAGAAAAAAAGCTCATTTAATCCAAAGAGTTAAATTCAATGTTCTTTAAAAGTATATGTAAATGTTTTTCCATTCTGACTCCCTTGATAGTCAACCAATTTCCTGAAGCACTAGATTTAATTATATTTATCTTGGCTAGAATTCAGTAGCTACAAGTGCATTAATTGGGGTTAGTGCCTGGACACAAGCATTTAACTGATTCCTCTTGTTACACTGGCAGCAATGAATAAATATATTAAGCTACATTTTAAAAGAAAATATATTGATTCTAAAATTTCTAACATTAAGAAAGCACAAAAAGTAAAGACTACATACATCTATGATAATCTGTATCAGCCAACTAGAAATATATGTTTCATTGTTTAGTATGTGAGCTATATTTATAAACTTACTCTGAAAGACATTTCTATATTTTCACCTCCCCAAATTTCCATTTCTTCATCATAAGTTCCAATATATTCAAAATAGTCTTTTGATATGGAAAAAAGGCCTCCTGCAAAAGTGGGTGTTCTGAAAAATAATCCATTGTCAAACTTTGTTATACAACCAAATAAGAAGAAAAGAACTATTTTAAGAGCAACTAAATCAAATTTACAAATAGAGATTACAATCTCAAGGCTTTATACAGATTAATAGAAACTAAAAATGCTATCTTCAAAGTCAAGTTCTGGGGGATGGAGAGGAACTATGGTAAGTATCCTTCCCTAGCAGAGCAAAATTATTTTGTCTTTGAACTAAGCTTAAAGATTCTTAAGTAATGATTATAAGGAAGACATAGTAAGAGCTCACTTAATTCTACTTCCTACTAGGTAACATCGTGTATAAGCAAGTCCATAAATAAAGTACTTTTTATTCCTTCCATACAGAATATTCTTTATTCTTGTCAGCATGAATCACCTTGGTGGAAATTACTGTAAAAAACAAAGAATGCACAGACATTCAAACAACTGACTATACATAAGACCTTGAGAGCAATCCTCTTACTTGATTGGGTAAGTCTCATCCTTCCTTCTTTGCTTCTCATGATCAGGAAGTGTTTCCCAGCCAAATGAAAGGCTCCAGTCAAAATTCCCACGGTTATGGTTACTTCCATAAGGAGAAGGTTTGTTGAATTCAAACGTGTTCAGATCTATGGATGCAATATCTGGGCTCACGACAGCAGTGTAGTTCTCAGCTATTCTGGCCAACAAAGGCTCTAACCAACCGTAGAAACACTCACCTGGAAAGAATACAAATCAGCAGTAACGAAAGGGGATGAAGGAGTGGCACAAAAGGTCGGATTCCAGGCCAGGCCGTCTCACATCACACACAGACTTCAGGAGATGTGGCACGCGCAGTCCTACTCGGGACTTTGCATCATCCAGCCATCGGCAGTCATGGCCCAGGAGGACCCTCAGACAGATCTGCCTGGAGGGGAAGAATGCCCAGTCTGATATTTCTGTAATTTTGGAACAGGAGAAGGAATACTGGAGAAGGAGCCATTTCCTTTTGAAAACACCTCTCTTGAAAACACCTTTAGACTTTCCTTAAATGCCTGGTATTGAGAGAATACGGGAAGTAAAAGCTCTAAAGAGACTCAAGCAAATCCAAAAGCCCTACTATAACAATTAGCATATGCTCAAAACCATTTGCTTGGTCAAGCAGCATGTGAGGGCTGGCCAATTCAAACCTAAACACTCATACAAAGAGTAAAACTCAGGAAGCTTGGAGCTTGGGGGACTACCTGACGTTTGGGTAATACCTATGGTGAACATTAAACATTGACTTTAAAAATAGTCTTCAAGTACTGTATTTACAATCATTGACACTGGAATAAAGCCCACTTGGTCATGGTGTATGATTTTTTTAATATGTTGTTGGATTCTGTTTGCTAGAATTTTGTTAAGGATTTTTGCATCTATGTTCATCAGTGATATTGGCCTGTAGTTTTCTTTTTTTGTGGCATCTTTGTCTGGTTTTGGAATTAGGGTGATGGTGGCCTCATAGAATGAGTTTGGAAGNGCAACGAAAACAAACAAAAACTAACAACATTCATGGGAAAGACACCGGAAGCTATGAAGGGACACCTCTCATTTGGCACAAGAAGGACTATGAATCTTTGAAGGGGAAAGAAAAGAACTGAAATATAAAAAGTAAAAGTGTGAGGACTGGGACAAAGTTTAATGATAGGGTTGACCACACACACAAACAAAACTTTCACTCACTTTAAAGTGCAATAATCAAGAATAATAAGGAAAAACACTTTTTAAAAAAAAATACAAAACAAGCATCTGAAAAACTGTCCCAGGCATGGGTAACTCACTGGGGAAGCTGGTCACTGGAGGACATAAAGAACCTCAAATACAAAGGAGGTAAAATCATTGAATAAGTGAAAGGAATTTCCTACCCAGAGCTATAATCTGCTTGCACTATCATTGCTATAATCACCAGTTGGAAGCAAAGTTAAAGAAAATGCTATTAGACATTTAAAGAAAAGGTTTCCTTACCTTTTGAAATAGAGGGAGGGAGAGGGAAAATGTTACAACTGTGTTTCTCTATACATACTTACAGTGAGCATCTAAAAATGTGAGCGTTTCAGCTGTTGCTACTGTTGCTCCTAGCAACCTTGCAGTGATCAGACCTTTTCTCTCTTTTTGTCTGACTATTTTTACAATAGAAAATTGTTTTATGTATTCCTCTAGTTTATCATGCAAGTACTCTGTAAGAGAAAAAAAATCAAGATTAACTCATTTCTAAGTTTATTTCATATGTAACATGAAAGCCAACAAAGAAAGCACAAGGCAATGATTCCTCCATATATGTACTCTTAACAGTTGCACATGTCCACCCCTTAAGATTAAAAATATTATATCCTTAACTCTACTGAAAAAATTACATATACAAATCTTAACTTTTGGATGATTATAATGCATGCCATTATAACACATAGTCATCCTGTCTGTGTCATATCAATAAATAAAATGTGTTTGGGGGGAGTGAGAGACTTCAAATGGAATAGACCCCAGGAGTTAAGAACACTCATTTAGAGGCCAGAGAAAAGAGACAAAGGAAAGAAAGAAACTGAATTTGGCCAAAAATATATTTGATTCTCTTTTTAAAAATTTTTAAATTTTTAAAATTGGTATTTAAATCTGGAAATTTATAGAAATTTTCAAAGTCTCAAAAAAATTCTTTGATATTTACCCAGTGGTCAAAATAACTTTAAGACCAAAATCTTGAGAAAAATACAAGTAGAAAAGTGCATGGCTACAGTAGTTTGGGAATATTTCTACAAAGAGTGAGCAAAAAAAATTTGAAAGCTCTAGAGTCTCCTGACACAGACTTTTTCCAATAAAAATATGAAGGAAGAAAAGGGCATGCAAATCAGTAATAAGGTTATAAGCAGGGAAAATCTGAGTTATGGGTGTGTAAGTTTACATACTCAATATTCCTATTTGGATGACATACATACTGTGCAAGAGTTAAAATAATAGGTAAAAGAAACAAACATCAGTCAAGTCACTCAAGTGTTGTCCATATTTTTAAACAACATCTTACGCCTGTTTTCTCACATTAAATTCTTGATTCTTCGTTGAATATATCATGTAGTTCTTCATGTGGCCTTCTTGGGCCATCACACAGACTCAAAAAGACCTGGGAATATTGAGAATGCCAGCAAGCATCCTGGGTAAATGTTTGCTTCTGTCAGATTTCAGAAGCAATTGGAGGTGACTTTGACTTTATCTGTAATTATGTATATTTTTAAATGCTCTTGTAGTGCAGAAAGGATAGTTGCTTATTTAAAGCTTAAACATTCATGAAGGAGGTAAGAGTCCAGGAATAACATTTTGGGAAAAGTAAGTGTTATCTAAATATTACTGTCTCAGAGTAACAGATTAACTTTTTTAACGCCTGGCGGAGCCTGGTTTGCTGCCGTCTATGGGGTCACATAGAGTCGGACACGACTGAAGTGACTTAGCAGCAACAGCAGCAAGCACCTCAAAATTAATTCTCTGAAAGACAAGTAGGATTGTAAGTTGTCTTAAAAAATATATAACCATAGGTATTTCTGCTTTGATGATAGATTCACAAAGCAGAAACATAAAATAGAAACATTTCAAATATCTTTACGGGAATCAATTTTTTTAAATGGAGTCACAACAGATTACTTCAATAAACCCTCTCACTGTTCACAAGTTAAGAAATGTTATTCACCCACAACTTCTGAATTTCCTGTAAATTCTTACCTGCTTTTAAAATTTAACCCCATCCACTCTCCTAATTTTATGAATTTAAAAACACAAAACCATGAAGTCAAATTTCCTGGGTCTGATTTATAGCACCATTACTTTTAGCTATGTGACCTTGGGCAAGTTATTTTACCTTTCTGTACCTCGCTTTCTTTAACTATAAAATGAGAATAATAGGATTTACCCTCATAGGGGATTGTTGGGAGGATACAATGAAAGATTAGTTATACAAATAAAATATTTAAGACAGGGGCTAACTAGCACATTGGGCTTTCCTGGTGGCTCAGATAGTAAAGAATCCACCTACAATGAAGGAGACCTGGGTTTTATCCCTGGGTCAGGAAGATCCCCTAGAGAAGGAAATGGCAATCCACTTCAGTATTCTTGCCTGGGAAATCCTATGAACAGAGAGAAGCCTGGTGGGCTATAGCCCATGGATCACAAAGTGTTGGACACAACTTAGCAACTAAACAACAACAAAACTAGCATATGGTCTATGCTCTGGAAATGTTCATTATATTTTGTTTGGTATCACTGGATTTTAGTTATCTATTAATTGATAACCTACATATTCATGCTTTTCCATCAAGCAAACTGAAGTCAGGGACTATGGTTTCTACTTCACAAGCTCCTTTACAGTAACTGGGGATACATTTTCCACAGTGGGTTCTCCTTGGATAGCTCTCTGACTGAATTCAATAAGACAATTACACTACTATGCAAAGATAGCCCTTTGTCAAGAAAACTTTTCCAAATCTATTGTTGATTGCTATAAAGAATTAAAAAAAAAAATATTCAGACACTTTAACCAAACAGCCCTGCCATTCCAGACTAATCTAAAGATATAATTTCTGTAATGATGTAAAGTAATTAGCCTCCAACTAATAAAAATAAATGGAAAAAAAAAAGAAAAAAAAAGATATAATTCAAAAAAAGGAAAATAACATAAGCACGAGGATATCATGTTATAGTAAGACTAAGGGGTAAACAAATTGTATGGTTAAGCAAAATGTATCTGGTTCATTACTGTCATTAAAAGCAAGTTTTGAAGGTAACGGAAAAAGGCTAATAACAACGTGATGTGAAAATGTCAGATTTCAAAACTGGATTTCTTTCATGGGTATAATTATATAAACATTATATATTTATTTAGACAGTGATTAGGAAAGAAAAGATTAAAATGGTTGAAACAAAGATTATAAATGGATAATATCATTCATTCTGATTTTCTTTCATTCTATTAATCTTGTGCAATTAAATAATATACGTTACTTTCAACTGAAGGTTTACTAGATGTACCCTTACTGTGTCCCTGTTGTCCCATTTCTTCAAAAATCAACAAAACAAAAATTATCTGAAAAAAGAGTTCAAGAAACCAAAGCAAAAGATTTCTAAAATAAAGTTCTGGATTTTTCTTTTTTTTTACATAAAACACACAAGAAGTCTGCAGAACTTAATCAGATATCACTTAAAAATCCATGGACTTTGGTCCAAATAAATACAAAGAATTAGAAAAATACAGAACAAATCAAGCAATAAATAAATCAACTGATTACAATTGGATGGTGATGCAACCTAGCTCAAAGGATTAGAGATTCAAATCAGAAATCTGTATGTAATATAACTTGAATCCAGGGAACTTCAGGGAACTTGAACAATAAACTTCTCTATTTGGTGGATAGGTTTTATAGTTAAGTCAAAGATCTCTGATGATGAGCAATCCTCTTCCATCTGGATGTTCATTTACCTCAATAATACAACCTCTATTCACTTGGGCTATTGTATTTTGAAACCATAGGGATGTCTAGAATTGTGTGTAGAAATATTTAAATAAACCAAGTTAATAATTTTGTACTTTATTCACTATCATGTCTAAAATCTGGATATAGCTTATAATTAATTGATGACATATGACATAATAGGCAACTTTTTTCCCCCTCATGGTCTATAGTAATGGGAAAAAAAATGAAAGTGGTAGTGGCTCAGTCCTGTCCAACTCTTCAACACCACGGACCCACCAGGCTCCTCTGTCCATTGAATTCTCCAGGCAAGAATACTGGAGTGGGTGGGTAACCATTCCTTTCTCCAGGGGATCTTCCCAACCCAGGGGTCAAACCCAGGTCTCCTGAATTGCAGGCAGATTCTTTTCCATCTGCGCCACCAGGGTAAGCCACATAAAGTAATGACTTACCTAATGATAGATGGTGCTTGAATTTGAAGGAAGAATGTCATCATCATTTTACAGATAAGGAAACTGCTCACTAGTGTTTCCAGAAAGCTGGAATTTGAGTTTAAGAAATCTAGTTCCAAACTCAGGCTCATTCAGGAATAAATTTTGCATTCATTGAAATAATCTATACCTGTTTGATACCTAAAATATATTTGTAATGTTTGAAAATTCAGCAAATTAGAGTATTTGTCCAATTATCCTGTGACTCCAACTGGAAATGTGTAACTTAGCAACTGACTATTGACTTGTAAACTGAAGTGAAAATTCATTAACGATTTTAGTTATTTTGCAAGTGGTATTAGAATATTTAAAAGAGCCAAAAATAAAACAGGATATGGTAACTCATCAGTAATTTTTAACTACTCTTTTATATTATTTATATTAATTCATCTAATCTTTAAAACAACCCTAGGAGTTGTATACTACTTATATATTTCTTCAATTCTAAACCATACAATTATATACTTTTTATAATCAACAGCATGTTAGTTTAACTGACTGTAAGGGTCTTTTTTCTAATGATATGTAAACTAACAATGTATCTTACAATAAATTTGACGAAATATGACATTTCCCCCATTTTACAGACAGAAAAACTGAGTATAAGGGGGTTAAGTAACTTGCCCAAGTTGCATAGCTTGTTAGGACCAGAAATGGGATTCAAAACAAGGCAGCCTAACTCAAGGCACAAGTATGTGCTCCTAATCATGTCTTTAAAAGAAAAAAATCTCATACTGAGGACTACAAAATTATAAATAATGGCGTTTCACATTTATAAACTCCAAAATATCTGAACATGGACATCCTTGGATTCTCCTTCTACCCATCATACACAACATCCAAGACACTATATTCAGGCTCTGAGGTGGCATATGGAGAGTAAATACAACCAAATAGACTCTGGACAACACCACATGGATTTACTCAGGAAATAATCTACTTTGCATGTACTTTCTTACCATCTACACTAGCATCATCCACCAAAATGATCTCCTTCAGCAGTATGGCAGGTGAAGAATATAGCACACTGTGGACAGTTCTAAGCAGCGTGGACCACGCTTCATTATGAAAAACTATAATGACACTGGTGGTAGGCAGGGGGGGACAGCGCTTAAATTTTTGTTCAATACATCTAGAAAAAATCAAAGTAGAAGAATGATAATGAATTTTATTACATTATTTCACAGTTACACCATTGTTAAAATTATCATTATTTTAACCTTTAACACAGGAGAAATGCTGGTGCATAGTTTATTTCTATGTAAGATGATCTTAATGCTATACAAAGGCGAACAGATCGAAATGAAAGTTTTACAAATAGACCACTCACCTAGAGATCATGTCCACTGATATTGATCACATGTCATGGATTAAAACATGCTATTGTAAGCTTTCTCAACAATATAACTTTAAATATAAATAATATTTTAAATAAGAAAAATAACCTACAAGTGAGACAAACTGTAAAATGGCAAATAAGTGCAACTGCTCAAATTTAAAAACCAAGTTCTTTTTTCTTTCTTTGTAGAAATGATGCCGTTCTCTTAATATCTGCAATTTTTAACACTGCAGCTGTGTTAAATTAATATTCATCTTTGTAGAGATTATCTTAAATTATATATTTGCTAAGTATGTAATATTTTCTAAGTTTAATCAATTTCCTTAACCTGTACCTGAGCCAAAGGGAAAAAAAATTCGCATTCTACAAAGCCTATTTTCTTATAACAATCATCAGAAGCAAAAACATGTTAAGTACCTACCATGTGTCACATGACTTGCTGTGTTAAAGATTTTGCTCCAGTAAGGAGAAAGACCCTAGGTGGTTTATGACTGATTAGTGATACTACTCATTTGCTAAAAAACATTAGTTATAAATAGATCTTGAATTCATTTTTATAGCAATGTCACCCTCAAGGAAAATAATCTTGATATGAACCCACTGGGATGTGGATGGGTCTGTACAAAAATCTCCAGCCTTTGAGACTAGAGATGATCACAGTCCCTCCCCAGATGAGATGAGGTGGGGATCAAATGAAATACATATAGGAGAGGCCTCAAAACACAGTAAAATCAGACAGAGTGAACCTGGGACATAAAATATGTGTGGTTTATGGTAAAGATAAAATAAGTGGATCTTTGATAACCATAAATGATTGTACACTTTTAGAAAACAGATTATGAAATCTTCCCACACAGTCAAAAACCTCTATAGTGTGTGAACGATCAAACAGTGCTGGTCAAATCCAAAGACAGGGAAGTAAATCATGATCACTCGTGGAGATAAGAGCCCAGCACACTTCCGTTGCTCTGCCAGGGCCGATGGGGAAACCAGAGCCCGCCCAATGCTACTAGAGGCCTGAGAAAGCAGCCACCCTCAAAGAGATATACTACAGACTCTCACTAATTACTACTTTTATAGCCATACATCAGTATGACTGTGTTTCAGATCTTTTTCTGAGAGATCTTTAGGTTGAAATATTTGTAGTGATGAAGGAATTAGATTAGGGGTAAAATATCGAGAGGGTGTCAATACCACTGAGAGGAAAAGAGGAGGAAGGTTCTGCACGAAAGTGATTTTGCTCTCTGAGACTGTCGTGATTTTAAAGTGTGACATATGTGTATAGACAGAGGAAAATAATCGTATTCATTCGCACTGGTAGATGAAAACAAACGACTTGTTCTAGAGCAACAGAAATCTAATCTAAAGTGAATTTTGGATAAACTACTCATCTACGCATTAAAATAAAGTCCAAACACAAACAACCAATTTATCTATCCTCGAGTTAAAAAGTACACAGAAACAAATAAGAAATGTAAGTTTGTATTTTTAATACATAAAGTTTTATAAAGCAACAAAGAATAAGTAAAAATTATGAAAAACTTCATACTATATTTTTTTAAGAAAAGAGAAAACCTTATTTGTTTTCTTATAAGCATTTGGGGTAGGAAGCTTTGATATTAGAAAAAAATTTCTGTATATTTATTTGCCATGTGACTAACTGGGATTGGTGATGAACAGGGAGGCCTGGCGTGCTGCGGTTCATGGGGTCGCAAAGAGTCGGACATGACTGAGCTACTGAACTGAACTGATATAGTATTAGTTAAAAAATATAAAAAGTTTTTGAAGATTTAAAGTAGGAAAACTTCACAAAAATTCACACTAGTGAAATGTTATCTTTTTATTCTCATAAGACTTTCAGTTTAAACTAGGGTTTATTTGCCTAACTGATAAGTACTAATATCAAGTAGAAGTGTCATTAATGCAAGTGATAATAAAATTTCATTAATGCAAGTGATAATAAAATTTCACAATGTGATTTCATAAACCTCATTTATTTTGAAACAATTAGCATGCTCAATTTATGCTTTAAAAGTTGTTTCACATGTCATTTAAAGTAGTGAAATTAAAATAACTTGCCAAAGTAATTACAGATTCCCAGTCAAACCATTTGAAAAAGTTGGCATATAGAAATGTGCTTAAGTTATAAGTCACAAGACCATCTGGCTTTGGGAGAAAACTAGATCCATATTTCTAATGAACATGTAAAAGATTAGCAATTCTTCAGAAAATGTTTTTCTTGCTGATATAAGTTAAAAGTATGGAAATATTAAATCTTCAACTCTTCACAGTTCTAAGTAGGCATTCCTGTCCAAAAAAAGTTTCTTTGTGTGTGTAGCTATTTTGCACTTACTTATTGACTAACATTATCAAATATTACTATAGATTCTCAAAGCTATATTGGGGAAAAGGCTTATCTCAAGCTCACTTTGTCATGTCAAAGAACAAGAAGCATGCTTCTTGATTTGTGATGGGAATTACTTTTCAATCAACACTTCTTTCAAAATCAGTAAAGTGCCATAGTGCATTTTAACCTATCAGCATAAAAAAGGAACTATATGGTGCCATGTTAGAACAGCTAGAATATTTTCGACTCATTTGTTTTTTCACACATTCATTTAAAATGATGAGCAAGTTAACCTTGAATCATATACATTAGCATAGAGCAACAGAAATCTAATTTACACAGCTTCAGTATTGAGGGACTCATAGTTGGACCAGGTATTCATAACAGATCCAGAGAAATATGAAGAAAGCAATAGACCTAAGTCTACCAAAGTACATTTCTTCAGCCACACTTATAAGTTTAATTCTCTTATAACTAGAAAGCAAAATATGCAAGTACTGTTTACAGTTTGTCTCTCTTGCACTTTTAACAAATCTATAGATTGCCTGAAAGTGCTAAAATTTGTTTTCACTATTTCAGTTCAAATAGAGTATTTGAATACTACCTCAAAGATAACAAAACAGTTAACTAAGAACAAAGAGTCAGCACAGAAGAATCTGAGCTGGGGGAATGTTAAGCAAAATACTGTATATTTGAGATAAACATGTAAACAAAGTAACAATAAAAAGCAATTCTGGCCTTTCAGAAGCTAAAGGGAGAAAACTCAATAAATACAAGAACTTGTTCAACAATACCCCAGAGAAAGAATTGCAGTTGAATTAGTAATTATGACAATATCGACTCTTAAAAGAAAGGTTACAAAACACAGGGCATTCTGAAATATAATTATAGCACTAAAAGTAGCCACAGAGTCTGTGACTTCGCTCATAAAGTATCATTATCTAATAGCTCCAAAATCTTGGCACATTTTTAATATTTCTATTCTATAGCAACACAGAGAAGAACAGAAATAACTCTTCCACCTCCCACATTTCCCATAAAATCCACCCCATATTTCTTGCTTAATAGATGAGAAAACTAAAGCTTTTAAGAATAAAGGATTTCCTTGTGTTTCTATAGAGGTCAGATCTAGACTTCTGTTTCCTAATTTCTAAGATGGTAATTTTTCATGTATGCAATGCCTCACCAATCATAGATACAGAAATACACCCTCAATAATAATAAGCAAAAAAATCACTGAAACAGATTAAACAATTGGCATTTGCTGATTCTTTGCTTCAAAGAGGCTAAAGAACAAGTATCACCTTAACTAACGCCCCTTCCAGGCAAACCCACGAGATAAACACTAAACAATTAATATGCTTCAACATACTCAGGAGGTCGAGTGTCTGGTCCAAGATCTCGGTGTAAAGAAATCCTGTCACTTGCGAAAGCGTTAAAACAGTGTTTTGCTTCACCACGTTCTTTTTCCTTCTGCTCTTCAGCACTTAAATTGGTTGTTTTGAACGCTTTACCAGAAGCACCAGGTGCATTAGAATCCTGAGGTGGGCGGTCAAGAACAGGTTTCAATTCTGCTGCTGTATAATATCCTTGCAAACAGGGTCTCTCACCAGCATCAATGTTTTGCCTGACAGGTGCTCCTATTTGCATTTTTGGCATTGCATCTTTAATATTGTTTACAGCTTCTAACATTAAATCAAACATCTTGTTTTTGTTTTTCATGTTTCTTTCCATCCTTGATTCCTCTTTGGAAAACTGAACACTTACTTCTCTTTGCATTAAAATCAAAAATATTATAAAGAAAAAAACTACTGCACCAAGCTTCCAGAATTTTTTATGGTAATGTCTTTTAAGATGTAATTTTACTAATCGTTTTAGGTGAGCCATTCTGACATTAAAAGTGTGTCACTTGACAAATAATAGTTACAGTTTCCTCTGTTATGTATATTTTTTATCATAGATTTGCTGGCAAGAAGGTTTCCTTAAATTATAATACCTGTAAACAGAAATGATAGATGATATTAGTAGCTATTCATTCTTATAGGCATGGTTCACTTCATTTACTCAGACAACAACTGAACATAAGCTGTAAACAACATACTCTTATGGTTAATAACAGTCAAAGATATTTTGACCTCAAAAAATTACACTTTTGGGAGAAAATTGCTATCGTTAACTATAATTTATTGGGGTTATAAAATATTAGAGATTTCTCTCCAGTAAAAAATACATTATTTGTTAACTCTGGCTACTATCTACCATATAATATGCATAGGTTTTATAAATATATTTTGAATTTAAAAAGAATTTTAGTTCAATAACCGAGAGGCCAAAGGACTTCATTAAACTGATTGTAAAGAAAGGGGTAATCCAAAAGAAAACAAAAGTACATTGGCAGGTACTGTCAGATACACACCTAAAATAGTGGTTTTTAAGAAGTTCACCAACAATCTGTGAACTTCAACTAAATCAATTAAAATGACAAATAATTTCACAATTTGTATGGAAATACAAAAAACCTCAAATAGCCAAAGTAATCTTGAGAAAGAAGAATGGAACTGGAGGAATCAACCTGCCTGACTTCAGACTATACTACAAAGCCACAGTCATCAAGACAGTATGGTACTGGCACAAAGACAGAAATATAGATCAATGGAACA